TCTAGATGTGTATAAGAGACGTGTTTCACTGTTTGTTATCTTCTTTGCTGGGATCTGCGGAGGACCAGGGATTTTATCCCTGAGCAGCCCCCAGAATAAACAATAAGGTAAATAAATACATAAAAAATGAAAGGAAGGTTTTTCAAATATTGTGTTTGTGCTTTTTAATGTAATTTTGTTGGTTTTGACGCACCGTAACATTGGGAGTGTAAGCTCAATAATTTATTATTATAATCGAGAGGCTTATTCTAAAGTATTCAAGGCGAAGAATGTAGGAATAAAGCCACCCCTGTCCGAAGCCACCCAACAATGGATTATACCATTGTAAGGTAGGGGTGGAAAATGGGGTGTTTGTGTTGATGCTGGTCTACAATAGGTTTCTGCTGCAGTGCTAGGAGTGTCTTTGTATCAGCTTTTGTGTATTATGAATTAGAAACTGGGTGTAGTCTACATAGGCATAAACATCAATTGTAAAAGTAATTGTGAACGTTTCCTTATCATAAGATAGACTATGTACCGAAATTTCAAACGATCGTATACAGTATTGACTCATGCGATGTAAACGGCCCAGATCAAGCAATAATCAAAATTTATCTCTAAATAAATCGTCAATAAATACAATTAGGCATCATCTGAATGATTATATTCAAAGTACTACCGGTATTAAGGCAGACATCTTTTATTGAGAACCAAACGAATTACCTAAACCTCATACATTATGAAATAAGATTACGCTTCTTCAATCACAGGCTGATGATAACAAAGGGTATAATATACTCTTTGATGATAACCTCAGCCAGACTTCACGGAGCAGCTAGTTTAACAACATGCTCTCAATGAGCAACATCTTGAAATTTACAAAAAAACAAACAAATAGGTCTCACAGCAAATTTTGAAACCTAATTAAATGAAATAATATAGAAAGCAACTCCTTACTACCATTTTGTTACTGGACGAGCCAGTCGGCTTCGTATTGGCGGCGTACAAAGAGTCAAATAACTTTGTGTCTGGCAACCTCTGTGTCTGTGTCTACCAGGAGAGCCTGGAATTGGGAACGTTTCTCACTGAATGTAGTAGACGGTAAGCAGAGTTATTTCATAGGCAACTAGTAATGGGCCTCAAACAATTTATTTCGTTCTTAACAAAGTATCAGCAGAATGTAAGCAAAATGATTGTTAAATCGTGTTTTGAAATAATATAAAAATTGAATTGTATATAAATGAATATTTAAAGATTGAATTTTAAATGTGGAATTAATAAAGTGCAACAATTGAATTAATTTGTTAATTTAATCTATAAGTATATATCACAAAAAATATATAATTCTACAAGGAATGTTTCTTGTTTTGACAACAACAAAAAACATAACAACAAAACAACATCGAACTAACTGGTAGCAGGCCTTCCAATTACGAAACTATATTTCGCAGAGTAACATCCCAAACCACGTGTGCGCCCGACTACACCGGCTGGCAAAAGAGGTATGTTGAGTCCATTGCAAGTTGTAAACCAGTCAGAATGCTGGGATATTACATCATTCGGGGCAACTTGCAATGTTTGGGATATGTTACTCCGCGAAACCTTTGTAAACACTAGAAGTGTGACGATGTTCTCTGGCGATTAATACTGAAGTTTCGAGGTTGAAAGGTGTACCAGTTTTTTGTTTTTTTAAATAATTCTCAATAAAAACAACCATTGAACAAGAAAATGAAACTATAGATCATTATATATGTAGGTATAAGATACTTTGCTGAAGTTGTACAGGCCCAGGCCTAATGTTCTAGGCTACATTATAACCTAAATAAGAAGTGTCGCTGACCAACTGTGTGATGCCAATTTTTCGGGCTTAAAACGAAGCCTAAATGGCCTTTGACAAGTGGGGAGCTGGAATCTCAGCACTCCCGAAATGTTGGTGAAAACTCTGGAACTCTGTTTAGGTTGAATTATTATGTGTAAATTGATTTAGAGTTATCTCATAAAGAAAAAATTCCATCCACGCATATTAAAAATTTCCGCGCAAATGTTGCAGTAAAGTCGGCCGGTGGTTATTGTAACCAATGTATAGACATTCGCAGTGTTAATGCGATTCTGCGGACCTATTTTCTCGAAATTTCCTGCACAAATGAAGAAAACTACTGAAAAATTTAAAGAAAGTATACATAAAAAAATATAATTAATGTTTCAGTAATAATAATTAATACAGTCGAGTCTGCCAAAGTCGACTCTGTTTAAGTCGAAAATTCGCGTCAGTCGGATTTTTGAAAAAGTCCCAATTCTTTCCTCTGTATTACTGTGTAAATTGTTTGTTTAATTCAAATTTCTATAAGTCGAATTTCGGCTATATCAACAGAATTTTTCGGTCCGGATAGGCCGATTTTAAAGTAATTTTAACCACACAAGTCGAAGTTCTAAATTTAGTAGCGCACGTGGGAAAAATACACAGCCGTGGGAAAATACGAAGTTCAATACTTGTTGTACGGCAACAAGTTAGCCATGTCAAAACTAACATCTCAGACAGCGCGCTGTGGAACTTGGCTCACATGATTGTATGTCGTAAGTTGCAGTCTACTCTCACAATACAGACACCCCTCTGGACCGGCTCCAATGTTCAGTTTTTCGTCCAGTTCAGTTTGTAAATTGTATTGAACCCATTTCGAACAAGATTGTTGTAGTCAGGGCCTAGCTATTTAATTAATTTATCAAAGCCCTGGATTCTTTTGACTGCCTAGCCTACGCAAATTCAACACATTAGGCCTATTTAATAATAGGGGTGGCGCCAGAGGGGGGGCTGGGGGATATAGCCCCCCCTTCGGGGAAGACGATAGATTTTCTCGGGGAACAAACAAATAAAAAAAAATATTTACATGTAATATTCGTTTAGCCACCATATCGTTTGTGTTAACTTTTCATCGCAACAACAACCACAATAACAATAATAATAATAATAATAATAATAATAGTATAAGAGACAGCCACTACCGGTATTAAGGCAGACATCTTTTATTGAGAACCAAACGAATTACCTAAACCTCATACATTATGAAATAAGATTACGCTTCTTCAATCACAGGCTGATGATAACAAAGGGTATAATATACTCTTTGATGATAACCTCAGCCAGACTTCACGGAGCAGCTAGTTTAACAACATGCTCTCAATGAGCAACATCTTGAAATTTACAAAAAAACAAACAAATAGGTCTCACAGCAAATTTTGAAACCTAATTAAATGAAATAATATAGAAAGCAACTCCTTACTACCATTTTGTTACTGGACGAGCCAGTCGGCTTCGTATTGGCGGCGTACAAAGAGTCAAATAACTTTGTGTCTGGCAACCTCTGTGTCTGTGTCTACCAGGAGAGCCTGGAATTGGGAACGTTTCTCACTGAATGTAGTAGACGGTAAGCAGAGTTATTTCATAGGCAACTAGTAATGGGCCTCAAACAATTTATTTCGTTCTTAACAAAGTATCAGCAGAATGTAAGCAAAATGATTGTTAAATCGTGTTTTGAAATAATATAAAAATTGAATTGTATATAAATGAATATTTAAAGATTGAATTTTAAATGTGGAATTAATAAAGTGCAACAATTGAATTAATTTGTTAATTTAATCTATAAGTATATATCACAAAAAATATATAATTCTACAAGGAATGTTTCTTGTTTTGACAACAACAAAAAACATAACAACAAAACAACATCGAACTAACTGGTAGCAGGCCTTCCAATTACGAAACTATATTTCGCAGAGTAACATCCCAAACCACGTCTCTTATACACATCT